GATTATATTCCAAATAACAAGGTTAGATGGAAGCAAGATACAAGCCAGAAGCACAAAGGGGAAAACGTCAGTATATTTATAGTTTTTACATAAGAAGATTCCAGAGTATTCTCCAACTATCGACTAGTGCTGATTGGATAAGAATTAGCCAATCAGCGTGCACCAAAGCAATCGTGAATTGAGCATGCTTTAATCCGGTCTATGTCCCGCTAACACCTCCCCCTTGAGCAGATTCGTAGGATCTAGTGCTGGGGTCCAACTGCAACCGAGTGACTGGTCTGTGCTTTCGATTAGTCCATCGTCTAGGCAACAGAGAAGTATCACTTTTTTCTTGCACAGAAACTGACGTGTCTATTCCCGGCGTTTTGATTTCAAAGGTGTCTAGCAGAACATCAAGAGGTAATCGATATTGAATCTTGTTGCTGGCTATCGAAGTTGCTTTCAATTGGTTAGCATGACGTACCCAAACTTCCGAGCCAACTGACACCTCGTAAACCACACTCCCCTTCTTTTTCAAGATCTGACCAGCTGTCCATGTAGGATGTTTCTCACGATAGTCCATAGCAAGCAGTTTTTGTCCCACCGTGATCAATCGTCTTTGTGCACCATGATGTCGGTTGAACTGATCCTCCATTGATAGGTTTCGTTGGGGTTCAATAGCGGCGTAAGACGGATGACATCGAAATGTGTTCGTATTTTTCTTTTCGGTTTTCCTAGTAACCTATCACCTGTCTTCTTTGGGAGTACTGGGGTGTCCAATGATGAACGTGATACGTTACAGACACTGTTAATTGGTACATCCATTATTCCAAGTTTGTCTAACATATCTAGACCAAGAAGATCAAGGTTCGGCCGTTCTGTTAGGTAACATATTCCTGTACAGTTAGTTCGACTGAAGGAAAATTCACACTGTAATTCACCAACCAGTTTTAGCACACCACCTGATGCGTTTTTAGCCGTTTTCTTAGATGGCTTCATTGGCGGTTTACCCAGCAAGTTATACGTTTCTCTAGACACTAACGTGATATCTGATGCCGTGTCAATTTGAAGACGAGCTGATATGCCGTTTATCTGGATGGTAACATACTTTCTCTGAATGTCATAGTTTGTTTGAAAGGCAGCTACCAAAGAAAGAGATTTGGACTCGGCTGATTTCACATGTTGAGGACGTTTATGCTTCTTCTTAGGCTGAGACGTACGCTTCGGTGGACAATGACCTTTATGTCCACGTTTGTTGCACGCCTGACATTTATGCTTCTTGAACGGACAGAATCGTGCATAATGCCAATCACCGCATAACCAGCATACAATCCTTGGTTTGTTACGAGTTGTTACCGGCTTCTGAACTTTTAACCTAGTAATAGTATTGACACTACCGCAGGTTAAATTAGGATTTACCTGTTCAATCAACTCGTTGTGTCTGATGCTTTGTAGACGCTTACACTCATCTGTCAATGTTCTGAGTGTGACATTTGGGTCTTGATCCAGTCGAGCTAAAAGTCTAGTCCTGATCTCAGCGTCCTGTGGTGACTGAAGAGCTTTGATGAATATTAAGCATTTAAATTGGTCATCAGTCAACGAGCGTAACTTGAAACGTTCACACTCTCTGTTGACGATGTCTGCTAGAACACCATATTCATCGGCTTCGCGTTCCACCAAATTTAGACACCGATATCGAATACTAAACAACGAGGATGACTCGCCGAATATCTCTGACAACTGAAATACCGTCTCCTCGAAACTGAGCTCTCGAGGTAACTTTGGCAATATATGGTCAGCAAAACGTGCATGTTCATTGCTTCCCAACTTACGTACCAACAATCGGGTCTTCCACGCATCGTCTTGGTTACAGAATTCTGTTCTAAATGTATCTTCCCAACGTCTGAACTACGTGAGAAAAGTATTTCCACTTTCGGGATCATAGATGAATTTTGGGATGCTGCTAGCAACTGCATCACAAGACGTACTTGAAATAGCATGTGAACTCGAGCTGTGGATGTTGAGCTGTTGAGTCAGAGTCTCCAACAACCGCATTTGTGCATCAAGTTGTGCTTGCTGTTGTTGTAGTATTCGGTTAAGCTGGTCATCTGATATAGGCATCTTGAATTTGTTTTCCTTTTTCCCCGTCGCCACTGTTATAAATCTCTTTTCTTACGGTTATGACCCAGCTATTCCTATTGCTTAGTATTCTCGGACACCGATTCACTCGACAAGACCCCAAATCAGAACACGGTTGAACAGGAAAGAGATTATATTCCAAATAACAAGGTTAGATGGAAGCAAGATACAAGCCAGAAGCACAAAGGGGAAAACGTCAGTATATTTATAGTTTTTACATAAGAAGATTCCAGAGTATTCTCCAACTATCGACTAGTGCTGATTGGATAAGAATTAGCCAATCAGCGTGCACCAAAGCAATCGTGAATTGAGCATGCTTTAATCCGGTCTATGTCCCGCTAACACCTCCCCCTTGAGCAGATTCGTAGGATCTAGTGCTGGGGTCCAACTGCAACCGAGTGACTGGTCTGTGCTTTCGATTAGTCCATCGTCTAGGCAACAGAGAAGTATCACTTTTTTCTTGCACAGAAACTGACGTGTCTATTCCCGGCGTTTTGATTTCAAAGGTGTCTAGCAGAACATCAACAGGTAATCGATATTGAATCTTGTTGCTGGCTATCGAAGTTGCTTTCAATTGGTTAGCATGACGTACCCAAACTTCCGAGCCAACTGACACCTCGTAAACCACACTCCCCTTCTTTTTCAAGATCTGACCAGCTGTCCATGTAGGATGTTTCTCACGATAGTCCATAGCAAGCAGTTTTTGTCCCACCGTGATCAACCGTCTTTGTGCACCATGATGTAGTATTCGGTTGGTACGTAAGTTGGGAAGCAATGAACATGCACGTTTTGCTGACCATATATTGCCAAAGTTACCTCGAGAGCTCAGTTTCGAGGAGACGGTATTTCAGTTGTCAGAGATATTCGGCGAGTCATCCTCGTTGTTTAGTATTCGATATCGGTGTCTAAATTTGGTGGAACGCGAAGCCGATGAATATGGTGTTCTAGCAGACATCGTCAACAGAGAGTGTGAACGTTTCAAGTTACGCTCGTTGACTGATGACCAATTTAAATGCTTAATATTCATCAAAGCTCTTCAGTCACCACAGGACGCTGAGATCAGGACTAGACTTTTAGCTCGACTGGATCAAGACCCAAATGTCACACTCAGAACATTGACAGATGAGTGTAAGCGTCTACAAAGCATCAGACACAACGAGTTGATTGAACAGGTAAATCCTAATTTAACCTGCGGTAGTGTCAATACTATTACTAGGTTAAAAGTTCAGAAGCCGGTAACAACTCGTAACAAACCAAGGATTGTATGCTGGTTATGCGGTGATTGGCATTATGCACGATTCTGTCCGTTCAAGAAGCATAAATGTCAGGCGTGCAACAAACGTGGACATAAAGGTCATTGTCCACCGAAGCGTACGTCTCAGCCTAAGAAGAAGCATAAACGTCCTCAACATGTGAAATCAGCCGAGTCCAAATCTCTTTCTTTGGTAGCTGCCTTTCAAACAAACTATGACATTCAGAGAAAGTATGTTACCATCCAGATAAACGGCATATCAGCTCGTCTTCAAATTGACACGGCATCAGATATCACGTTAGTGTCTAGAGAAACGTATAACTTGCTGGGTAAACCGCCAATGAAGCCATCTAAGAAAACGGCTAAAAACGCATCAGGTGGTGTGCTAAAACTGGTTGGTGAATTACAGTGTGAATTTTCCTTCAGTCGAACTAACTGTACAGGAATATGTTACCTAACAGAACGGCCGAACCTTGATCTTCTTGGTCTAGATATGTTAGACAAACTTGGAATAATGGATGTACCAATTAACAGTGTCTGTAACGTATCACGTTCATCATTGGACACCCCAGTACTCCCAAAGAAGACAGGTGATAGGTTACTAGGAAAACCGAAAAGAAAAATACGAACACATTTCGATGTCATCCGTCTTACGCCGCTATTGAACCCCAACGAAACCTATCAATGGAGGATCAGTTCAACCGACATCATGGGGCACAAAGACGATTGATCACGGTGGGACAAAAACTGCTTGCTATGGACTATCGTGAGAAACATCCTACATGGACAGCTGGTCAGATCTTGAAAAAGAAGGGGAGTGTGGTTTACGAGGTGTCAGTTGGCTCGGAAGTTTGGGTACGTCATGCTAACCAATTGAAAGCAACTTCGATAGCCAGCAACAAGATTCAATATCGATTACCTCTTGATGTTCTGCTAGACACCTTTGAAATCAAAACGCCGGGAATAGACACGTCAGTTTCTGTGCAAGAAAAAAGTGATACTTCTCTGTTGCCTAGACGATGGACTAATCGAAAGCACAGACCAGTCACTCGGTTGCAGTTGGACCCCAGCACTAGATCCTACGAATCTGCTCAAGGGGGAGGTGTTAGCGGGACATAGACCGGATTAAAGCATGCTCAATTCACGATTGCTTTGGTGCACGCTGATTGGCTAATTCTTATCCAATCAGCACTAGTCGATAGTTGGAGAATACTCTGGAATCTTCTTATGTAAAAACTATAAATATACTGACGTTTTCCCCTTTGTGCTTCTGGCTTGCATCTTGCTTCCATCTAACCTTGTTATTTGGAATATAATCTCTTTCCTGTTCAACCGTGTTCTGATTTGGGGTCTTGTCGAGTGAATCGGTGTCCGAGAATACTAAGCAATAGGAATAGCTGGGTCATAACCGTAAGAAAAGAGATTTATAACAAAAACACAATAATGTCAAGTAAGTAGGTGGAATGCAACGAAATCACAACTACACATAATTAGGAAAAAATACCAACATTGGAATCCAAAAGAAAAGAACATGACTAACAATTTTACGATTGACCAAACAAAGAAACAACAACGAAAGACAAGAAATAAAATTACCCACACTTTATTTGTGTTTAGGTAATAACTAAAACGGATATCTAGTACTTTAAAGAAGAAAATTCAAAATAAATATTCTGAAGCATTACTGATATGGTTTCTTAACGGCTGTACACACGTTTACAACTGTACAGGGAATACTATAGGTTGGTGGTTTGATGGTCCAGTATCACTAGAAATAGTTGTTACAGGAGATATTAGAAATCGACTAAAAGGTTGTTCGTGAGCATCACAAGTTAACTGGGGTAAATTAAGGAAAGCATCAGAACGTGAACTAGCTGGTGTATGTGAACCAATCGAAATAGTATGATTAGGATCAATTGACTTATGTTTTAGATGATGGTGATGTTGAAGACGAGAGGATGTTTTTGAACGTCTAGAACTTTTCTTAAATAAATCATAAGTAGACTGTTGATGAGGATTTCTCTGTAGATATGCTTCAGTGTCGTCATGATGAGACTTTATTTCTCTAAGAAAATAGTGATGAGATTTTCGATCACATGAACTACCGCTACCGGTAGTAGTAACTGAACTACGACCAAGATTCTCTACTTGAAATAAATTGGAATTTTGCGGAGATAAAGGTCTGTAAATGTTACCCAAATAAAGGATACCACCATTCAAGCTAAGGTCACAGCCATGTGATATAGATTCTATAGGCGTATTAGTATGTAATACTGATTCTACTCCATCTAACTGTTGATTACATATTCCGATACCACTTCCATTCCCTGAAGTGTTATAACCCATTGTAGGAACTGATTGATCACGTCCTGACTTTACAGATTTACGTGGACCACCGCTAGTTGTCCCAGTTCGACTGCTACTTGTTGTTACAATGCTGGCAGGGGGAACACTAAATGCCTCATAGGGTGGTGGTGTATAATACAATGGATCTGTGGGTCAGTGAGAGAAGGAATAAGTAGAAATATCCGAGTTTAAAGTAAGATAATTACATAACTATATTAAAGATTCTCATTGTGAAAATTAGAACAACACATATATATATTGTTTTCAATTAGATCGTCATCAGGCTTTACTCTAATATACATGAATATTTATATGAAAATGTTAAACCAATCAAGGCAATATGAGTCGATAATCACAATGAAATAGAATAAGTCTCTACAAATAATAGGTAAAAATACAAGTCGATAGTAGTAGGAAGACAGGTGAACTGATAATAGTAAGAATAATAAAATACAATAACAAAACTCTTATCAATAGTTAATCGTTGGAAGTAGAAGGTCAAATAAACATGGGTAAGTAGACTAGGAGTAGTAATCACAAAACATTAAAATCACTACGTAATAAGATGTGTGTAAATAATTAGATAGTGAAGAATACAAACGGCAAGTGGCGGAAAATTACAAACAAATAATGGATGTGGAAATAAGGTTAACGATAACACAAATAGAATAAAATAAATAATGATAATAATAAAATTTAAATAAAAAAAATTGTTAGTTAAGTTATAACTGGCCATGGAAGGGATAGGGGGGTCAGTTTATTTGACCTTCTATTTCCAACGATTAACTATTGATAAGAGTTTTGTTATTGTATTTTATTATTCTTACTATTATCAGTTCCGATAATGCAATGAGAAGACGTAGTTTATCAGAATTATGTGATATATTTGCGCAATACATTTCGAACAATCTGATCACACATATACTTGTTAAGAACATTTATATATGAAAAATTAAAAGGTCAACTAGACAGGTTAAGGGTAAGTCATAACAAAGGAAAAAATATTAAAGTACACAAAAACAAATGTGATTACCACTCTGGATAGTAAATCAGTACTACCAGGGTAGGTTAAGTGTAAGTACAAATTGTTTTTGAACACATAAAGGGGGTTTCAATTTTCGTATAGCCAAGGCTTCAATAAACCTTAGTATACGTCCTTGAAGGCTTTTGTACAACACAACAAATGCTGATTTGATATCAACCTTATGACCCGTCTCAATCAAATGTTTCGCAATGGATGATGATGTCTGTCTATCCTGTGATCTTATTTCACCATTGGAATTCATCTGATTTTGCAACCATTTTGGTATATGTTCACCCACCCTTAATTGCAAATCACGGTTGCTCCTCCCTACGTACGTGTTTCCACACATACATGTAAATTTATAGACACAATGGGATGTGACACAATCGTTTTCATGCTGTTTGGGCTTTTGGTGAAACATAGACCTTGTCTTTTCGATGATGACAAGTTGGGCTGCATAAAATGTCCGGTTGATAGCTAATTTAAGTCTCTGTTTCAACATGAGACTATTTATGTCACCTCTGAATGGTAGCGTAATATAAACTCGCTTTTTGGGTGCCAGAAGCGTCATAGGTCTAGTCATATTGCAACCCTTCCAGCGGTTTATGAACTTCAAAGGGTAACCATTATTGATTAACGCATCAGTCAAGAGCTTCATCTCTACTTCAATAGTATCACTAGTACAAATACGATTGATCCTATTGAATAGGCTCTTTATTAAACCACGTTTATAATGAATAGGGCAGTGACTATGAAAATTAAGATATTGTCCTGTCCATGTTGGTTTTCTAATATAGCACGTTTGATGGAACCATCATCTCTCCTAGTAATCAGGATGTCAAGAAAAGGAAGTTGGTTGTTCTTCTCTTCTTCACATGTAAGAGAAATGTGGTTTTGACTACTATTGAATTCTTCTAACAAGTGGCTTATGTCTTCAATTTTATCACCTATGATTATTATGTCGTCTACATATCGTTTATACAGACCCATCTTTCGAATTGAGTCTCCAACTAAATTTTCCACATATCCCATGAACACATCAGCTAGCAATGGTCCTAGAGGGCTGCCCATAGCTACACCATCTATTTGTCTGAAGTGTTCACCTTCAAATGTGAATTTTACATTATCTGTACATAATAATAATAAATCTTTAAGAGTTTTAACAGGAAAAGGCAGTGGAAGGTTTTTTGAAGAAATAAAGTCACACAAAATATCAATGGTTTTCCTAAGAGGTACATTTGTAAATAAAGTGTTTACATCAAAGGAGCACATTGTCTTTGTCTTTATATTTATATCCTTTAAGTAATTAATTAATTCGAATGAGTCAGTCAAAGAATACTTACAATATTGATTTCTGATAGGGTTTAATAATTTTGTAAGCCATTTTGCCAGGTTGTGTGTAGGTGACCGACACATAGATAGAATTGGACGTAGGGGGGTATTAGGCTTATGAATTTTCGGTAATCCATATAAATTAGGATATGCCGAACCCATAGGTTTTAATAAATTAAACTCATCTTTGTTAATAGCATTCATGTTTAACAATTTCACAAGATTCGAGTTCACTTTCTTTTCTAATTTACGTAATCCATCAAAGTCAACATCAGCCACATCAGTTCACCTGTCTTCCTACTACTATCAACTTGTATTTTTACCTATTATGTGTAGAGACTTATTCTATTTCATTGTGATTATTGACTCATATTGCCTTGATTGGTTTAACATTTTCATATAAATATTCATGTATATTAGAGTAAAGCCTGATGACGATCTAATTGAAAACAATTTTTCGCTTATATGTGTTGTTCTAATTACATAACTGACCGACCAAAATAATATAGAACTTGGAAAAATAGCATATTAGTTCAAACTGTCTCACTTTCTAAAAAGAGTGGTGGTTTATACTGAGTTTCACTACGCTAAATGTTACCATTACCTGGCAGAAGATCAGAAAATTGTTACGTAAATTGGAATAATAATTCCCAAGTTGTTTATTCAGCATATAGTTCATGCTGTTTCACGCAGTTGTATACTTTTCGAATCATCCTTTACTATTTCAAGTCAGTCTCATTTGTTACGTAAGCCCAACCATCGCCTACCTGGACGAACAGTGTTGCCTATTGTAGGAATATATTGAAAGCTAGGGGCGGCAAAACTAGGATGCGGCACAAGCCCATGAATTCACTGACAACTGGACTGAACCATGCAAATAAATTTAAACCAACTCAGTTGGTCTACGTCTATTGGCAGCACTGAGCAACAATATCAGGATGTTTGGAATGCCTTTCTCTCCCTCTAAATGCAAGTTGTTGCTTCAGGACTGGCCTGTGTCAACACTTAAACTAAGGATAGGGAGTGAAGTAGTCGAACGCGTTGACAACTTCACTTATCTTGGAAGTCTGGTAAGCTCTAATGGGTTAATGTCTGACAAAATCTCTACACGAATTCAAAAAGCTCGTTTGATTTTTACCAACTTACGTCACCTATGGCGAAGGCGAGATATCCGTCTATCAATTAAAGGACCAGTGTATTGTGCAGTAATTCGTTCTATTCTACTTTACGGCTGCGAATGGTGATCATTAAGAGTAGAAGATACTCGTAAGTTACTAGTATTTGATCATAGATGTCTTAGGAATATTGCCAGCATCTTCTGGGATTACCTGGTAAGTAGTAGTGAGGTAAGACGCAGGGTATTAGGGAATGATGGTAAATCAGTTGATGAGGTTGTAAATCTTCATCGACTGAGATGGTCGGGTCACTAGTTTTGGAGATGGATGGAAAAAAGTTAGGGGCGGTCAAACCAAAACGTGGCATCAGTGCTTGAAGTCACTAACTTCTGGTTAGAGCCAGGTTGGTAGATGCGGACTACTTGGTTGGGGCCCGTGCGACTATCGTAACCAATGGTTGGAGACTCTTGGTGACATGACTCAGAATCGATCACAACGGCATAGGTGTATACACTCTTTGCCTTCTCTTAAACCGTGAGGTTAAAATTGCTTTGTATCTTTCTTTCTACGAACTAATTCTTTCTTCCTGTATTATATCCTTATACACAATCTTTGCTCTATATATTACTACCATTAAAGTAACTACTTATATGAATTTGGTGTTCAACTTGTTGTGTTAATAAGATGTGGCAACTCAGACCGATGTATATGTGCCTGGTCCCACGTTGTAGCTGACTGACTGATATAGACTAACTAGTTAGGATTAGCGTGATTATCGCATGGCTTACAGTCGTTCACAATGGTTGAGGTACTATCATACCTTGTCTTCCTCGAGTCCCGAAATCCCCTTATACCATTTTTTTTTCTCATTTCTATATTTAATCTTTTTTTTCTACTACTACTGATACTGGTACTACTTCCAGTACTCTGGTATATGTCTTGAAATGTTTTTATCTCCATGTGTCAATGTAGTATAGCGACTTGAAACAGTGCACATGTGTCAGGTTCTACGTTGTTTATGATGATGATGAGAACCTGATAAATATGTACATCAGTTAAAATTCCCACAGCCCATTAGAAGAGAGAGGTGAAATTTCCAGGACAAATCCTAGAGTATCCGAAGTAGTAACAGTATTAGTGGTAATATGAAGGATTATGTATTGAAGACATGATTTGAAAAGAAAATATTGGTGCAAATGAGGTAACCGCTGGAAAAATTCATTTACAACCATACTTTATTATCCTTGATTGAGAAATCCCACACACTAATGGGGAATAATGGTGAATGACCCGACACCCTCGAAGCTAATCAGTTGGTTCTATTAGTCAGTAGATATCGTGCTAATGAGTAAATGCCATATTAATCATATATGGATAGCCCATAAGTTCGAATCGACTAATTTGTGTCGTTTCCTTGTTGGTGAAGGTATTGACCTTGAATTTCAAACATATTGGTCTAATATATACCGAATATGATTATCAAGAGGCGTGTTAGTATTAAATATTCTCTAAGTGCATAAAATTGAACTTATGCATCATTTTCCCTTGTCTAACATTGTTTGCCTTGTACTTTCAGTTACAGTTTGCTTTGTTACAATTACAGGAAAACAGAGAAAATACAATAACTGAGAATAAATCATGTAAACTTAAAACAATTACCTCTTCTGTACGTGCATGGACTGCCTAGGGCCCCGTGAATTAGAGCAGGAAGAGGCCCTGGTTGACCATTTTGAAGATCATATACTCTGGACGAATTGTTATTAGTTAATGAATAGGAGTCACTACCATGATGACCAACAGAAACAAAATACTGGGATCGCATAATTTCATTGGGAGGATTTAACAAAGGATAATACCTATCTAACAGTGGTAGCCTCAAAGGAGTTTTGATAAAACAGTGTAATCGGGATTCTTTTTCTGTAGTCATATTTTGGGATGATGTCAAATACTGATTGAACGTTTGGTGATGTTGGTTAGGTGCATTACAGTTACGTCGTGAAAAGCTTCCCCCCTTGTCATCAATATGTCTGAAGGAAAGGAAGCACTCTGTTGCCAATTCCTAGCAATCTTCTGTTGATCACCGTCTATATGAGATATCAAATCTATACGATCTGATAACTGTGACTGTGCACCAGCATTGACGGACATTACACCTAGATGCTGTGATCTAGAATAACCATAATTATAATTTGCTGCAGTTATAGGACGACTGAAAGTATCTAAAAAAATTCCACCATTTCTAAACGCAAGTCTATTATTTGAATACTGATTATTATATGTTTGATTCATCAGACAACAACGATGACAACAACATATCACAACTCCAATACCCAATATAAGAATAACAATTGTACTGACAGCTATAGCAATAGACGCCGGCATACCAAGTGACAATAAACCTGATAACCAGCTATTAACATCAATCAAATCACCATTAGCAAGTAGTGGACTGTTTGAAGCTTCCATATCTTTATGTGGGATAGAAAACAAAACGTGAAAAAGATTTTTTCAACAAATAAATTGAAAATGATTAACAGAAAACTAAATGATTACATAGCGGATGCAATTTCGCCATTCAACTACCTTATAATTTGACTATCGTAGGAAACCTTTCAAATATTGTTTTATCTTGTCAATGGATTAAACGCTCGATCCACATGACATGAACTACGATATTACTTTAGTTTAAGCACATTCAAACAGCGGTTAATCATATGCAACTTAAAACCTGGCAAATATGTACATCGATTCAATTCAAATTACAGTAGCTCACACAGATGAATTTCATCATTAAACATGAAGGACTGGTTGTTGTGTATTTCCTGTTGATTCTCTTAACAGTTGAATTGGAACAGATTCAACAATAGTATTTATACAGAGAATGATAAACAGTCAACTTACACCAAATATAAAAGCGATTTTCCAAGATGAGAAGAATATAAATGTTTAAATATTGTACTGTATACCATATACAAAGCTATCAAGTGGTGATGTGAACTGTATACATTATTGGTTTCCTTCTTAGATAACAGGCACTGATCAGTAGAACAGTAAAGTGACGTTTAAGTATTTTTCTTGTTTGTGAGTGAAAACAAAAAATGTTATTATGTAAACAGGTATAGTGTGATTATCGGCTAGTGAGTGACTGATTATCTATTTTTACATTAAACTAACACTTAGGAAAATCAACATGGAAATATGTGATAACACCTATTAATAATTACATTTGTTTTCGAGGTTTTAATAAACGGAGAGCTGAATAACAACGTTAATAGAGGTTAGTTACCATCCAGTAAGCAAAAAAGACATCAATGAAGATGACCTATTAGTTAACTCGTAATTTCACTGAACATACCAATAAAAGCTTGACAATGAGAAATATCTTCATCTTTCCTATCTTCACAGTTCATAATACCATCGCATAAACTCTTCTTTGTAATACAATATCCCATATATTGTTTATCATGATTAGATGGAAATCTGTCGTCATCTAAACTACGGATATATTGAGGAAGAGATAAGAACGGTCCATACAACCGGCTATCTGCACTAAGTGAAGTTGATGTTATCATAGAATTTGCCCCCATGAAACGAGGAACTGCACCGCAGTAAAAGTTGCTTGATGGACAACTACTATTTCGAGCTGTTAAAATGAGAAAAAATAGTTTATAAAGCGGTGTAAATAAATATTATGAAAAATGCTTTGTTTCTTGAGATTTTGAAAAGACCTTGTCAAAAAGGACGTTTAGGAATTATTAAAGTATGGATAGAAACTCAGATTCTGATGGTCAAGGACGACACGTTGAAAAATGCACTAATCATTAGTGACTCACTAACTCGATTTTTAATTAACCGTCTTGGCTTTGCTACAATGGTTTGTAGTTAGGGTAGGAAGTAAATTCGGATAAACCCTATTTGAATTGAGTTACTGTGAATCAGTGAGTTGAATATTATCAAGATTATCCAGTATGTGACGTTTTGCTTACGCGGTTAATGCAACGGTTCCTGATAGTACAAATCCAAATATAATTTGAATTTGATATTACTTGCTAAGCTGCATATCGAAGAATCTTTTCGTCCTGCAGTATGTTATATTTGCTAAATCGAACTACGCAAAAATGTGCTTCGCACTGATTACAATAACAGAAATTCAAAACTAGTAATGCCTTAGGTAGTAAATATATCACCTTGCTGATATTCGGCAGAATACTACATTTGAAATTATATACGCTAGGTTATAACAGAAATTCTTCGGTAGTCCATTCGTAAAAAATGTATCACCTGATCCAAATTAGCACACTGTCAGTACAGGAAGAAATTACCAAGAATAAAGTCAAAAGATTTGAAATAATGATGATATCAAGGGTTCTAAAAGAATAAACAAAAGGAACCGTGGAGCAAATAGGAAGCTATCATTTCGCAGTACTTTCTAGGTTGCGACATGTATCTAGGATGGGTTAATAAATTTCACTGAACTACATTTTTAATATCGCACTTGATGGTGTAACCAGACGAATGACCAAAAGATCCTACATTTAAATGGGATTTATAAACTGGGAGTATATTTTCAGGCATTCAATGCAACTAGCGACTAAGTACGAAATTGTACTATTCGGAAAAAACATTGAATATTTCACATGCGAATAACCACTTTCATATTAACGCAGCAATTCTACACAACTTTGTGTAAAGCGCATTAGTATTTGAGTTAAATTACCAGTCTTTATTCTCACGTCAAATTATACAGGTGTTACCAATTGACAACTAATTACAAGGGGAATGACATGGAGTAAAGTGTATCAAAGATGTATTAGTAAGTTATCTTAGCAGACTTACTTTCTTGAATTGCAGTAAGAATAACTCGAAATCCAGGTTTCACACCGGGTAAAATGGGAGGTCGTTGAGATGAGGTACTGAGAACAAGACAATGTGAATTATTTTAATATGCCAATGTAAACAAGTTAAATTAGGACACACCTGAGATAACATATTTGAGTAGGGTTGTGATGAGAAACAAAACCTTTCTAACAAATAACCAAGTACTCTACCAATAAAAATATATGAACCGATTGAAAACCAGGTCTTTGTTACACTCAAGTGGCTGAGAATAGTGTTTGGATCTACGGGTCAATTTTTATTTCGTTATATTTACAATTTTAAAAATATCACCTCGCTTCACTCAGACAGATTGCATAAGAACGACGAACTGATAAACAATTGGACCATAGAGCTGTAGGTCAGTTGTTACAGGGTTAGCGTCAGTTAGTATATTGCAATTTCAAAATCGCTTCGTCTACTTCAAATAAGAGGAGGGAAAGGAGTATAAATTTAGCTCAATAGACTAAGTATAATGGTACACATCTGGTAACTGAGTTAGTTTGTTATTTAATTGTTGCGACTGAGTTGTCTTTGATGCCTACAGCCAGTGTCCTATGAAACTGGTTGTGATTGAACAGTTTATATATATATATATATATATATATATATATATATATATATATATATATATATATATATATATATATATATATATATATATATATATACAAAGACTTACTGGAAAGCTAAACATATGTAGGACTTTGTCGTAAATATAAGATACTTCGGATAATTCGGTCCACATAAGCCACGTTCTCCATCAGCTTCTGTCTATAAAAGATAATATATTTAAAAAGCTTGTGGAACATAGATGTAGAATATTTGGATTTATTGATGCAATAAGTGCGAATTACACAAAACACAAGTTAACACACACAAGTCCTCGTAGTCTAAAAAATAAAACGATCAAGTTAAACTTGATAATGAAAAAATTAAGACCCGATATAATTGTTGTTATGAAGAGTGGCTCATCGTAGATGTAGACTGTTCTCCAATTATTGCAAGGGCCAACTGTATTAGAAGTAACAGAGTTATAAATCGCAAGGGAGGAGACATAATATTACATGTGTGAGACCGCTTTCGTGTACAATCGAGTATATTAGAGACGCACGATAACGGTATACGTGAAGCAGATTGTTATAAAATTAAATCTAGACACGGAGTAGTGACCACGTTATCTTGCCGAAGACTTTGTCTCAAGTCATATTTGTACGTGGAGTTAGGCTGATTGTTGTCTCATTTCTTATTAACCTTAAGCCTAGTAAGTCAACCGATCCTGATGGGTTACACCTACGATCGCTGACAACCCTCCTAAATACTATTTGAGGACCACTCAGGAAACTATTTAACAAAATCTTTTCCCAAGTTCGACTCCCAAGGGATTGGAAGGATGCCATAGGTAGCTCTACACTAACGTATGGACATCTTTCCTAACTACGGACATGGCAGCTTAACCAGCATATTAGTTAAATTGTTTAAAAACATAATTCGGCCCAAGTTACTGAGTCACATAGAATCATCCAATCTGTTCAATTATGAGCAACACATGTTTCGGAATAAATATTCATGCTTAGTATTTCTGGACCTTAAGGCGGCATTTGACTCTGTTGATCGTAAGGTTTTATGGCAGTGTTTGTCACTGAAAGGAGTACCAAAGAAGTACATTAACCTTATAAAGGCTCTCTACTCGAACACAACTGGTCGAGTGAGAGCTTATGACGAACTGTCATCAGAATTGATTACCTCAAGTGGTGTTCGTCAGGGCTGTCCACTCTCCCATTTTTGTTCAACTTTGTCATTGACGTACTTTTAGAGATAACACTCTCCTCATCTAAATTTACAGGGGTTGAACTTCTACCGGGAGGTTCACTTGTTGACTTAGGATATGCTGATGACATAGTTCTATTTGATGAAGACGCTGACAAAATGCAGAGTCTTCTGACCACTCTAAGCAACAATGCAAGCATGTTCAGGATGCGATTTTCTCCCTCGAAATGCAAAATGTTGCTTCAGGATTGGGTTGCATTGACACCCGAACTAATGATAGGGAGTGAAGTAGTTGAGCGTGTCGATCGCTTCACTTATCTTGGAAGTCTCATCAGCCTTGTGGTCTGGTGTGTGACGAAATCTCAGCACGGATACAGAAGGCTCGACTAGCTTTTGCCAACTTGCGTCATTTATGGCGTAGGCGAGATATCCAAAGGACGTGTTTACTGCGCAGCAGTTCGTTCCGTCCTACTTTATGGCAGTGACACATGGCCGGTACGAGTAGAGGATATTCGTAGGTTACTAGTATTTGATCATAGGTGTCTTCGAAATATTGCTCGTATATCGTGGGACCATTGAGTAAGTAATGCAGTTGTTAGGAAACGGGTACTAGGTAAGGATGGCAAATCAATTGATGAAGTAGTGAAACTTCATCAGTTGAGATGGCTGGGACACGTGTTACGTATGCCCAACGTTAAAGAATTAACGTAATAAGTCGTCGACACTTATTTACAGATGACGTTTAAATGAGGCCGATAATCTTGATCTTCAAGCTGACCTAGATGAATTAACTGGATGGTACCAAAGATGGGCTTTGAAAATTAATCGTAGAGTTTGCCAATGCACATTTAACATAGTAATAAATACCAGTATACTACCAATAGCATATCGCTTACTGGAATCCCTCACCTGAACCAGTTGTATCAGCCTTATCAGTCAACATCTTCAAGGAGAAGCTGGATTTTCACTAAAGAACAAGGTACACGGATCAACACAAATTTAACGACCTATTATTCTAACTGCTGAAGACTGAACACACCTTAGACAAACGTTCTACGCATATTTGGGAGCAGTAACAGAAATCAATTTACAAGACTTACCATAGCCTTGCTGTATTAGAATCGAATACATATAAGTAATTCTCAACACAATTGGGAGTCTTAGAGGGGAAATAAAATTCCTCAATTTTCATCATAATTCTGGCATTCTCAATCGGTGAATGCACAACAAGCTCACACAAGAAGTAACGTGGATAAGAAGTCGTGTTATGAGATAATACAACCATACTGCCTTCAAGATTATCAACTTGCAGGAACTTTGGAACGGGATGGTGTAAGAGGGAATCCTGGTTAGGTAAGACACGGCAGTCACGAGAGAGAACAGCTGAAAGTCAAAAGCAACAAAAAAATGGAGAGCGTTTTCGAATGTGTATTCATGAATTTCACTTTAAAGGTTGATATGAAATGTCCCAAACAACCAATTAAGGGGAAATAAAGGCGAACAAATGGAAAATACAGGGGAAATAATGGCGAAACGCGCAAAAATGTCTGCTTTTTTTAGCCTGTCCCGGGAAATAATGCAGGTTTCCCACTTTTTGTCCCTCTGTCTCTCAAACGTCGCCGAATTGTATACTTTTCGCCTAAATATACAACCTACGTAGGTTGTATAGATTGAGCTTTTATAGATTGGAAATGATAAAAACCTTGTGACTACGTGAAAGAAAAAATTCAAAATTTAAACGTCTTATCGAGATAGTATTCAATGATAACTCACAAGTAATTTGGAGATGAACAAAACGAACAGCAGCCTGAACGACAACTAAAATCTGTAACCTCATTTTCTGTTTTACCCGCTATTCAATATAAGTAAATACGTATACATATTTGACCATCTATTACTTGATATCAATTTCAGAATTTATCATAACAATCAATAGACTGAAGAGTATTTCGCTTTTAATAGTGAAGGTCGTCAAACGTCCCTGTTTCTGGCCTGAGGCAGGCGGGTTTTCGATTTCCTTCGGCGTGAGTCATGGGCTTTCAAAATTTCAGAGGGAGAGGAGGTGGTTCACGTGGTTCCCAGGGTGGTTTTCGAAGAGGCTCCAGAGGAGGAGGATTTTCTGATAAGTTTCAAAGTGGTCCACCTGAAGAGGTTGTCGAAGTTGGAGTATTCGCTCATCCATGTCAAGAAGATATTGTCTGTAAAATCACATCGGAAAAAATACCTTACTCAAATGCTCCTGTTTATTTGGCGAACAAAGAAGAAATAGGCAAAGTCGACGAAGTTTTTGGTCCAATTAAAGATGCAGTAGTGTTTTTAATTTTTTTTATCTAATCCATTTGACTAGTACTTTTCAATCAAACTTTCAGATACACTTAAAAGTAAATCTTTTCAAGAAGGTGTTAAGGTATTCATCATCATCCAGATCATATGATATTTTCTAGTTTTTTATGGACCCTGCCAAGTTTCTCACACTTGATCGCGTGATGAACCCCAATTCTAGTAGAGGTGAGTTGACTTTGTAAAATTTATTCTAACTAGCATTGTGTATCGCTAATCGTTCGCTTTAAAAGGCACAAACTAATAAGAATTTATTCTTGAACACTAACATCTTCAGTCATGAGCATAATAAGACTAAACTATCAGTGCAGAATGAGAGATTTTTCATTCAATTAAGATACACCTAAGATTATTGAATGGCATTATCTTAGTGAATTAGAACATTCACCTTTCATAGACAAGCCGAAATACCATCTCAAAAATGACTTACAACTACGACGGTAGTCCTTGATGCCATATCTTAGTTACAATACCAAATCCCATACTTTGTGCTATTACTGTTATAAACCGTGATATTGACCAACCCCTTATTCTTCGATGGTTTGGATTTATATTTCTATCACTTGAAGTCAGTCCTATAGTACCAAAAAATAATTTCGTTATTGAAATATGTCGTTTTTTCGAGTCATAATATTCGTAATGCAGTCAGTGGTCAGCAATTCCTGAGAGAGATCTTTCACATACATACTGTTTTTGGTGTTGGTTCCTTGACCTTGAAACAATTAGTGATCAGGTTATTTAACTGTCAGTATTATATATTGATATGCTTGTGACTGTGGAAATTACATAAATTAGCAAAACATTGTTCAAAATAACGGTATAGCAGTTTCAGATTTATTATGGCTTACTCGTAACCTTGTTGTTTCTTGCGTGCATAATACCCCACTACACTGTGGTTTTGTTTCTAGACTGAAAATTTAATCGCACATCATGAACTGTTTCCTAGGTTGAGTCAAACGATGTCTTATTATTGTTTTGTTTATTTGAACACAAACATTGTTACAAGGGGGCATCAAATACGTATGCGCAACACATTAACAATGAGGCCAGTAACCGTTATAACTGATATATGTAAGGGCTTTGATTCTGCCCGAGGGCCTGTGATAAAAAGTATGTCGTATTATGATTTTGTTTGGTGTAAATAAATTGTATGACTCACAAATCTAGTTGTCACCTGTGCTCCTAAATGCCCTGGTACGGCCGAGAGGTGAGAGTCCGCTCTCCTACTCCAGATACTCTCACGTAGTCACGCGTATACAGCCTCTTCCAGGGAAGTCCTCACTGCCTTCTCGTGGCGGGGGTGTTGTTTTCGAAATTAAGGGGAAGAAAAGCAAATGTCCGGTGGACATGGAGAGTCCACCTAGGGGAGTTGGAAAACCCTTGTTCCAAATCATTAGTGCACATGGGCTACAGTATTCTGAAAGAACAAATGGCGTATGAACCAACCGTTGGTCACCGGCTACCACGAGACTGCATCTCCTTACGATGCTCCACTGCCTTGTTGGTTAGACCTTAGGTCGAAGGCTCGGGGAGTGGCCCTCTAAGAAAACCAGCTGCTTCGATTTGGGCACCTGGGCAGTATCACAGCCCTCACACATATCGAATGAGATTTGTGTGGCGCATGTGTATTTGGTGCCTCCTTGTACCAATATCTATGTGTTAAAATAAAATGTCACCTGTAATTTCCCGTCTCTTTTGTGAGGACCTACAGGATCAGTGATGTCTCATGATGGTCTTCAGGATTACCATATTTTGTTCAAGTTAGTATAGTATGTAAATGTCATCAAACCTGTACATTTCGTTTTATTATCTCAAAATAGATACTAAAGTCTATTTACTCGAATTCCAATAACTCGTATCACTACATTAAGTCAATATCATTAAAATTATTACGGCAACACTTCAAAACTGTAAGCAAATAGGCCAGTTGATATTAAGTCGTTTTTGAATAGAATCGACTGGTACCACTTTTTTATATTGCGAGCATAGGTCATACTTGGTTAACTGTTTAATTACGGTTAATGAGAAGTTTACTAAATACTCCTGCTTCGCACTGGGTAACCGGGCAGTATCACAGCTCACACAAAAATAGAATGATTTGTGTACCACATATGTATTCGGTGCCTCTTCGTACCAATATTTATGTGTTCAAATAAATAAATAAAATAAAGTGCTGACCAACATAGGCCATCGAGCCTCCTGTCCTTCCCAAACTGAAACTGAAAATAATCCATTGTGTTCAGAACGGAGTCCTTTGTTTTCTCAGGTTTCCTGTCTCAATCCTTGTATCATCTATCAGAATGTCAACTTTATGTGTGTACAGCCTGTCGTAAAGTTGTTGGTTTGACTGGACAATAAAAAATGAAGCTGATATAAGGAGTGTGATGTATTTACCCCATACATTTCGAACAGTCTGGTCAAGACATTTTGTATGAAAATTAAAGAAAATCCAACTTTCGTCCTCAGACTTTTCTTAGATATTTTTAAAAGTACTTAAATACTGAATGTTTTGCACACCTTGTCACCTGAGGAACATTTATAAGTTCTTTTATCTAACTTTTCCTAACTTACGAAGTCGTATAATCACCAAATTACTTTCTTAACAACAGGGAAAAGAGGTGGTCGTGGTCGTGGTGATCAAAGAGGTCGGGGCGGACATGATTTCTCACGTGGTCGAGGAAGGGGGGATTCTCGGGGTGCTCGTGGCGATTTCCGAGGAGGACGTGGTGGTTCTCGTGGACGGTGGAGTGATGGAGGTGGTCACAGTAATCGAGGCGGATTTCGTGGTGGGAGGGAAATGAATGGTCAGCGTGGTGGTGAACGTCATTCATTCGGAGGAAAACGAGGCGCAAATTTTTCTGCATCTAATACACCACAAAGTAAAAAATTCAAATCAGAAAACTAATTCACTGTTTTTGTATGATAAAACTTTTACCTGCACTGCTTTTCTTTTATGCCAAATCTCGTTCTTTTGCTAAAGGTCACTTATTTAAGATCACTTTTTCCTCTTGTTGGGCTACTATGTCTCTATCCTTGAACTGGTCGGGATTTATGTGTTTATGGTTTTCAAAAAGCATTTCTTAAACCTCCAACCTAATTTCGTCAAGTTATTTAAGATAAAACTAGTCATCCTACAATGAGTACATATTTATTAATTATCATAATTGATTGTTGCAGACAAAGTTTGTTTGCTTGTTTATTAATTCTGTTTAAAGGTCCTAGAACGATGAGAAGGGTCCTATTCCTAGCCTATTTCCAAAGTACCTCAACAAGCTGTTTTTTAAAAAAAGTAGGTCAGTTCAACTTCATACATAGGTTAATGTATCAGGCAGATTGCTTTCTCTCCCAATTAACTCTTATTAATGCCAAGAAAATAATTATTAGTTAGTCTGAGGGTTTTTGTGTGTTAGCCTTGTGGCTAAAACGTGCAAGGTGCGATTATTAAGTCTCCGTTTTCAGTCTCACTACACCTTCGGTTTAGCTTCCTAATTCTATCACTAAATTGTGGCTCTAAACCGGCAAACCGAACCTTTATTTGATTAGTGAGTAACAATTCATCAGTTCGTGATAACTTCTGAGATGATTGGTCGGTAGTAGTCACTGTATAAATTCTCATAGTAATTATGTTCTCGGTATAAAAACCTCTTCCGGAAGTTACCTCGATTTAGTGCATACGAATCCGTTCTCCATTTTCATGACCCCTAAGAGTGTTGTCTCTCATTCCAAGCTTTCCGATTAGTCTAGTGTTCCAGTTTGGCTGGAT